TCAGCTATGGAACTACTTTCCAGACCCTTGGAACCCAGAAAACATGGCACAGGAGGAGGTGCTTTTCTACCTTAGCTGCCACTGCATAACACCCCCCTCCCCCTCAAAAAATAAGTCACAGGTGGAGAGAACCATATCTGTTACCATGAGTCTGTCCTCCCATTCTACCCACTTGGGGCAGCAAAATGACTTGAGACAGCCCTGCCTTATAGCTAAGCAGAAGGAAAGAAACATGGCTTGTCTCCCTCCGTTTTCTGCTTCCCTCTGCCGCCCCACCAGCCAGTCGGGACACTCATCTGGAGCTTCCTTCTAGATCCTGTTGTATTTCTTCCCACAACAGGCATTACTCCTAGTTCTAAATAGAGGACAAAGGCAAAATAATCTGTTACAATTTCTTGCAAAAGAAATTTCATAACTGGTGAAAGTTCAGTTCCTGAACAGTTTCTGTAATACAACACTTAGGTCAGTTTCATATGTGCCTCTAATGCCTGTGTGAAAAATGGAGATGGAGTTCTTAAGAAGTTTGTGTCAGCTTTTTAACTTGATAACCTTAGGAAAGGCACAACCATTTGTTTACCCTTTTAACTTCTCCCTGTATGGAAATATCTCTTTGGGCACTATGAACAGATGTCATATTTGTTGCTGTTTAAATAACTGTGTGAATATATCAGTAGTGGACCTATTTTACTGGTTAAAATTAGTTATAATCAGTTATTTTTGAAGTGAGCATGGTAAGAAACTATAGAGGTGAAACTGACCAGAAAGTTTTATTTGTCTTGTGGGTGGGTGGCCACACAGTGCAGAAGGTGGGGTGGGGTTATACACAGATTTTTGGGGATTGTGTCCAAGTCTAGTTGCAGGGCGCAATAGTTCAACATTCCGGGTAGAAAATTATCTTCTGCCACCCTTACTAGAGGTATGTATGTGGGGTGACATTCATAAAGGGAAAAGCATACTTTGTCAATGGTGGTTAATCTGCATTAATTGAAGCAGAGGAAGAATACCAAGTGATATAACTGAAGCACATAAAAATTTATACCTAATTCCTACCTTCATAACAGGCTTCTAAGCCCCATTAAGATCAATGGGGTTTATGTGCAGGATATTGTTTTTTAATAAAATAGCTTCCGTATATTTTTAGTTGTTTTTTAAATACTTGACAGTCTCTAAGGGACTTTAGGGTTGACAAATTGTGCATAGGGCTGTATTCTGGCAGGATGTGAGTAAAAAGGAAACAGCTATAGTTATCAGTCCCTATCACTAGAGTTGGCTTCTTTCAGAAGTGTGCTGGCTTGGGGTAGCTATATTTAGCAGATACGTAGACCACCTCTATTTCTGGATATGTTTTTGTAAATTTTGAGATAATCTAAATCCCTGTGTATATTTAAGTTATTTTCCTGTCCCTCGTGGTCACTGCAACATCAACTCTGACAAAGGATATTTCACTTTGCATTTGGCCAAAACCACTGCTTCGTTTCTGCAAGTTCTTAGGGAAGCTGAGAAAGACCTGGAGACGGCAGTGGGTAAGATTGCCTTATGACCCTAAAGAAGGTGTGGAGATAAACATTAAATTTCTGTTTTGTAGAGGAGATTGAATGTAGGAAATTGGTTTAAAATGCAAGGACTTGAAACAAAGGTCTTCAGTTAACATTTTGAACTAACAAAATCTGGTTTTAATGGATTGCCATTCTAGTCTGTGTTATGTAGTGTGCCTTCAGCTGTTCATTGCAGCAGGATATCTATTCTGAGGTAGAATTAGCTATCTTCATTGTTTTCCAGCTAAAACTTATATTAATACAAGGATAGTTAAGAAGTGTGAAAATCATTTCAGTATTAGGAGAAAACAGCCAACCAGAAGAATCTGCCTCCTCCTTTTCTCTCATGCCCTGCTTGGCTGTCACATATGTTTGTGTGTGTGTAAATGAGATTGCAAATTTGTCTTTCTTCTGTTTTCTTCTGTTGTGTTGGGTATATGTGTGTGCTTGAGTTAGAAAAAGGTTTCTTATTGTAAATAAGAAAAAAATTGCCACCGTTTCAGTAGCTGGACTTGGGTTAGGGTTGCCAAATGGGCCCGGGGGGCGGGGAATCCCCCGCTTCGGAGCCCCGATTTCCGCCCCGGTGGAATCGGGGCCCGGGGGGAACCCCGCCCTCGAAGCTGCATCACCAGAGGTGACGCAGCCACGTTGCTGACATTGGGGGCGTGGCTGAGCTCGGGGGGGAAACCATATGGTTTTTCCCCCGACAAGCTCGGCCACGCCCCCAACGTCAGCAACGTTTTACGTCACTTCCGGTGACGTCCTGCCAGCGCGCCCTAAACAAACTCCCGGACACCGCCGAGGCTCCCCCGCTCTGAGGGGTAAGTGGATTTGGCAACCCTAACTTGGGTCCACATATCTCAGCAACAGCTTCAGTGCTGCTTACTGTAAAATGGTAGTAGTTAATGTAGAGAATAGGACTATAGCATTTTTTGGTTTATTCTGTACCCTACAGGAGTCTCTAGAGTTTTGATCAGTTTCCTGGGCTGCAATATTAAGGACACTTTCTTGGAAGTAAGCCCTGTTGACTAACATGAGACTTATTTCTGAGTAGACCTGCTTAGTATTGTTCCACATATGCATTTTCTTTCCACTCTAGGTAGCTACTGTTGTATGTCCTGTGCCACTTTAAGACTAGAATAGTCATCAAGATGACAATTTAATATCCTTAACCAGAAACATCTCTCTTTAAAAAAATCCACCTTCTTTGCCTCTCTCATTGTGTTATGGATAATGAAAGTCATTCTTTTTTAGCTCTGTGTATCTGGTTCACCTGCTAATTTTATGATGGTACAACACTACCTTGCCCTGACCTGGATAGCCCAGGTTACCCAATCTCATCAGATCTCAGAAGCTAAGCCTGGTCGGCCCTGGTCAGTATTTGAATGGGAGACCACCAAGGAATACCAGGGTCACTAGGCAGGGTCAAGCAGTGACAAACCACCTCTGAATATCTCCTGCCTTGAAAACTGTATGGAGTCTCCGTAAATCAGCTGCAACTTGACAGCAAAATATGTTTCTTAGCTAATTCTGAACCCAGCTATACGTCATTAGGCCATATTGGACAGCTTGTTCCATAAATCTGTAGTGACCGTGTAGGCTGTGTTCTAAACTAATCTAAGCTTAGAGGTATAAATCAAGACTTTAAGTTTCCAGCATAGCAAAATCTATCCAAAATCTAAAAGGCTTCTGCAAAGACTATGTAAACCTTCTGTTTAGCATTTGACATTCCCCTGTTATGAAAAAGCCATTTCTAAAAAAAATAATTGAAATAAATCTGAGCAAAGTAGGAGTGCTGCCAACTCCAAAGCCTGGAGAAAGTACACAAAAATAATTTAATAGGTTTATTGTGGTATTCTTGTGTCACTTTGTTTGGCTAATAAGAGACTTTGACGTTTATCTAATCAGCCCCTTATTTTTAATCCTGTCCCATTATGTGTGAACAAAAGGTCATTTGGTGACATAAGGTAAAGGTTCCCTTGCTCGAAAGCCAGTCGAGTCCGACTCTAGGGTTGCAGTGCTCCTCTCCGTTTCAAAGCCGAAGAGCCAGCGCTGTCCGAAGACATTTCCGTGGTCCTGTGGCCGGCATGAGTAAACACCAAGACGCACAGAACGCTGTTACCTTCCCACCTAAGTGGTACCTATTTATCTACTTGCAATTTCTTGCTTTCGAACTGCTAGGTTGGCAGGAGCTGGAACTAGAGACGGGAGCTCACTCCGTCAAGCGGCACTCGGGTCTCGAACTGCTGAACTACCAATCTTCCACAGCCTGTAGTTCAGCGTCTTAACCACTTGAGCCACCGCAGCTCCTTTGGTGACATTACTGATGGGTAAATTTAGAACAAGTAAAAAATTCACTGAGAGTTGGATGAGCTTTGCAGTGGACATGAAGATGCACGATGGTGTCCACATCAACGGTGGAAACCTGAATTCCTTGCTGTAGTGAGGCAATTTACACCTAATATAAAATATAATTGAGTGTTGGAGTTTCTAATATTCAAGTCACTTAGTTCCATCTCCTGAAAGGATTTCCAATGCATAAGCATGAAAAACAGGTGTTCAGCTTGGTAGCTTTACAGACATAGAGAGAGGCTGAATCTGCATCATCTCTGGGCAAGTTCTTGGCTTGCTCTTCTGCTCCTAGAATTAGGGACTTCCTCTTGATGCTTATTTTTTTATTCATAGGACTTTTGGGATATTTAGGATATTCAGTGTTTTAGTCTCCATAAGCCACAAAGGACCAATGCACAATGTGTACTGCACCCATAGTTGTCCACATAAAGACTCAGAGAATTGTATTCTGTGTGCATGTGTCTGGCACGATAATGGTGCTATAACAGACTGCATGGATTTCCTTTCTCTAGGGGTAAACATCTTTCCATATTTAAAAGGGGAAAGAAGCAGCAGAAAAAACCTATCCATTGCTGCAAGGCAATCCATGGGTAGAGAGAGGTGGGATACCATACCTCTGGTGGTGAATTTGGGTTAGTGCTTCTAAAGTGCTGAGAGAAAAATATTTATTGTTTAATCACCTTGAAAAACTCGTAGTTTTCTTAACTCTCATGTGATAAATACCATTGCTCCAAGCAGATTTTGGTTCTTCTGCTTCTGATGAAATAGTCTGATGTCTACACAAGCTTAAATCACAATAAGGCAGAGGTGGCTGTAAAATGTTGGAACATGTTTTAGGTTAAACTCTATGCACTGCAACAGATCACAATAGCACTTGAAGAATTAAACTTTTCCACCTTTCTCTTGCTGCTGCAGCCAGCTGTGCTCACTGAGATTCTAATCCAAGGGGGAAATTGGTAGACCTTGAGGAACAGAGTAGGAGATCTGCAGGGGGATTGAGGGATCAGCAGGGATTGTTCACCTGAGTGCAAATGCATGAGTGGAACAAGTTATAGGAACCCTAGCTTCATCTTGTTCTTCTTCATTTATCTCCTGGACTTTCTGACTTTACAGGTTATTACTCCATGTCGGAAGCTTATCCTATGTGCTGACAACAGAAAAGAAATGGAAGACTGGATTGCAGCACTGAAGACTGTGCAGAATCGGGAACATTTTGAAGTAATCTAAGAGCTCTGTCTGTCTGTCTGTCTGTCTGTCTGTCTGCATGGACCTATCTGCGGGTTGGGGCCAAACCGAGAGAAAGGAGACTATTTTCCAAAGTTGGGGGACCCTCCAGGCTTCCAGAAAGATCCCAAATCTTAAATGGGGGAGGGGTTAACAAAAAGCCAAAACAGAAAGCAGTTGTCTACACTTATGTTTGTGTGTAATTCTAAATCAGGCCATAGTGTGCAGATTAATAGATCAGCAAAATGGAGCCAGAGAAAGGTAAGGAGGATTTCTCTACAAACCTGAAAGAAGTTCCAAGTTTGCAGAAAATCTGAAATTTCAACAAAAAAACCCAACCCCACAACATTGAGGTATAGGTCTGCCAAGTGGGGGCAGGTGGCGGGTAAACCCCCGCTTTGGAGGCCCGATTTCCACTGCTGCAGAATCGGGCCCTGGGACGTGACGGGCCCTAGGAAGTGACGTGGGCACGCTGGGCACTCTGGGGGCGGGGCCACAGCCATACAAGGGAAAACTCTATGGTTTTCCATTGTATGGTCATGGCCCTGCCCCCAGCATGCCTGGCGTCCTCCCGTCACTTCCAGGTGACGTGCGTACACACAAGACGCCAGCCGGGAGCCCCCAGCTCCCGCCGAAGATACACTTGGCAACCCTATTGAGGTATTAACCCCCCCTCCCCCAATATAACAGAAACAACTCCATAATACTTAGTCTGGCTCAGTGACTACTGTACAACTTGGCCAGTCTTTTCCTGGGGAGGGGCTGCCAGGGGGAGGGAAAGGTGAAGACAGATAGGCAGATAAACATTGGTATTCATATTTCTTTAAAATGCAACAGCCCTACATATATATATTCATATTTCTTTAAAATGCAACAGCCCTACTTCCCCTCAAAGATGAGTGGACTGTCAGAAATTCATATGCAGGAAATATGATTCAGTCTTCTGTTTACTTCAGCTATAGTTTGCCTTTTGCACTGCAATTCAAGGTGTAGATGTAGATGGATGTGTATGGGGCATTCTCCATGTATGATCTTGTCTTCCTTAGTTACTCCCTTGACACAATTTCCTCCTGTCATGTGGGTAGGGTTGCCAGCTCCAGGCTGGGAAATACCTGGAGATTTTGGGACTGGAGCTGGGGTTTGGGGAGGGGAGGGACATTAATGGGACCACCTTCCAAGGCAGCCATTTTTCTCAAGGTGAACTGATCTCTGTTGCCTTGAGATCAGTTGTAATAGCCAGAGATCTCTAGCCATGCCCTGCAGGTTGGCAGTCCTGCATGTGGGGTCTGTTAACATGACTGTCACCACATATTTTAGGCTTATCATTAGCACATTGTTCAGTAGTGCCCTTTTAACCACCCAACACTTTACCCTACAGTTGTTAGCCATTGGGTTGTCTTATAGAAGTCACTGGCATGCAGCAAATGACTGGAAATACGCTTGTTTGTGGTTATGTTAAGCAATTATTGCTTCCCTGTAGCTCTGAGGAGCCCCTATTAAAAGATCTTCATTGCTTATTACAAACATTACCAAGGATCTGAACAGGAAAATAGATGGTTCTGCCTTGCAACAGAGAATTAAACAAGAAATGGCCTTTTGATCCATTCCCACACTGATTAAATGAAAAAAAAATTGCTTGTGAAAAGACCTTTCAGTCTCATCATCCCTCTTGTTTACAGCTGGCATGCTTGCTACTTACCACATGAACCAAATGCACACAGGTTGTACTCAAAAGCTCTGTGCAAAAATGGCTTTGTAGGGCTGAGGCTACCATTTCACTTCATGTTGTATGTTTTAATTTGAGATCTGATTCTGCCCTATTTGCCCTGGTCTTCTGTGTTCTAGACAGCACATGGTATATTTATTTATTTATTCTATCAGATTTTTATTCCACCCCTCCCCCATAATTTCAATAAAATCCAATTAAAAATTCAACGCACAGCAAATTAACGCTTTTGGCATAAAATCAACAATATTGATGGTGGCGTCCACTAAAATTAAATTCTTTCTCATCAAGATAAATGTTTCCTCTTTATTTTATATTTTGTGGTGTTTATCATTTTAGTGATTCACATGAATTTCTTCTTAGTTTATCTGTCTGTAATTCTTTTTAAGTCTACCCAGTACAGTATGGACCATTTCTCAGGGATGCATAACTGGTACGCCTGTTCCCATGCTCGGCCAACATACTGCAACGTGTGTCGGGAGGCATTATCTGGGGTTACATCTCATGGACTGTCCTGTGAAGGTAAAAAAAAAAACACCTTTACACACAAGAAAATATTTTTTAAAAGTCCTTTTTTCCTGCTTGGGACATACAGCTGTTAGATTTGCAAGAAGGCATCAATTACACCCATGCTTCAGGAACACATTATACTGAGTCAGAACGTTGGTCTATCAAGGTCAGTACTGGCTGCTCTGACTGGCTGAAGCTCTTAAGATGAGGTTTTTAATGTCACCTATTATGTGATCCTTTTAAATAGGGATCCTGGAGACTGAACCTGGAATCGTCTGCATGCAAAACAGGCTACCACTAAGTCATCCCCCCCCCCCCTTAATCTTCAATCAACGACCATTTAAGACTGGTATAAATCTAAAATGTGAACTGTCAGATTCTAGAATCTGCTGAGTGTAGGTCCACAAAATCATGTTTACCAGTGGAAGTTGGATATAAATAGTTGCAGTGAATTCTTAAAGGGCCTTAATCTACATTTATTTGGCTTCGATAACGTTAACTCATGGGAGTTGGGGACTATATAAATATTCATGAAGGTTCTTGGTGGGGTGGGCAGAAGAGCATATATCTAATCCCCAGCCCCCCAAAAGCCAGGCCATTTTAGAAATAGGACTTAAGATGTATGGTTTGTTTGTTTGTTTTTTAATTTATTAATTTTTCAACATGAAAAAATACAAATACAAAATGGACAATGTAAAACAATTAACAGCATAAACAACAGGATCAAAAAGTAAGTTAAGAAAAAATATATAAAAAATCTTAATGACACAGAAATAAAGATATATATGGTATCAACAGTTTAACATTAACAGATAATGACAGAGGCTTAAATATAGACAAGACTTACTACAAATTCAAATCATTGACTACATCTGGTATTACATCATGTATGGTTTGTTTGTTTTTTCTTCTTGTAATTTATCACCATCACTATTGCCTTTTAGATTTTTTTCTTTTGGGTAAAATATGTCTGGGTTAAAAAGCAATAGCTTAGGTGCATGTTGTTTACTGTAAATGACAGTGATATTTTTAACTTCCAAAAAAAGGACGGACATTATTTTGTAATTAACAGCAGGATTAAAATGGCCTTTAACAGTCTCTTTAAATTAGATTTGTCTAGTGTTGTTAAATCTTGATCAAACCAGATTTAGCTCTGGGTTTCTTTTAGGCTTAAATAATTTCTTTCACGCAAGTTCCTCATCATGTCTACTGTAGTAAGAAATGCTGTTTTCCCCCCCTCCACTCTTCACTAGTGTGCAAATTTAAAGCCCACAAGCGATGTGCTGTACGGGCAACCAATAACTGCAAGTGGACAACGCTGGCATCTATTGGAAAAGATATCATTGAGGATGAAGATGGGGTATGTGTCAGACCATTTCTCATGTTGAGAAGGATATCAGGAACTGTATAAAGAATATTCTGTATGCCTTTACCTCTGCTTAGATGTTAGTGATTTTAGGGAGGATCATGTATGTTGTAGGGAGGATCATGTATGATGTCCTCGACATCATAAATGACTGTGTACTGGAACAGTTGGTCGCAGAGCCAACCAGAGTAGTGATAGTGCTCTTGGACTTGGTTCTGAACAGGTCTCAAGACCTGCTGAGTAATGGAGAGGTTGTTACACCAATTGGGAACAGTGACCACAACGCTATCAAATTCAACATTCGGGTCAATGAAAAGTTACTCCTAAGGTCCAAAAATGTCAAAAGAGGGAACTTTAAAAAAATGAGAGGAATAGTAAAAAGGAAGCTGGAGGGGAAACACAAGAGAGCCAGATCCCTAGAGGATGCTTGGAAGCAATTTAAAATCATACTAATTGAAGCCCAGACAGAATTTATTTATTTATTTATTTATTTATTTATTTATTTATTTATTTATTTAGATTTATACCCCGCCCTCCCGGCAAGCGGGCTGTACTGGTTAGGAAAGGCACTACCAAGTTTTTAAAAAGACCAGCATGGTTAACAACGCAAGTCAAGGAAGCTATAAAAAGTAAAGAAGCTTCTTTTAAAAATGGAAGGTCTGCCTCAATTAAACAGGAGGAACCACAGGCTCTGGCAAAAGAAATGTAAGTCAATAATTAGGTGTGCAAAAAGAGGTTTTGAGGAATGAGCTGCTAAAAGCATCAAGATAAACAATAAATATTTTTTAAAAAATATATCCAGAGTAGGGAACCAGCCAGAGAAGCAGTGGGGCCTTTGGGTAGCAAAGGAGTAAAGGGATTGCTAAAGGCAGATGGGGAGATGGCAGAGAAGCTCAATGATTTTTAATTTTTTTTGGTATTTGCTGTGGGAAATGTGGGGAACGTACCCATGCCACAGCCCCAATTTTCAGTAAGGGAGTCTGAAGAACTGAGCCAAATTGAGGTGACCAGAGATGAAGTTCTAGACCTACTGGGGAAATTAAAAACTGATAAGTCTGCAGGTCTTGATGGCGTACACCTGAGAGTTCTTAAGGATCTCAGTTGATAGTTGATCTAGTTCCAGTAGTTGATTTAATATCGCTAAATTCAGCTGCTGTACCAGAAGACTGAAGAGTAGCAAATGTGACACCAATTTTTAAAAAGGGATCCAGAGGGGAGCCAGGAAATTACAGTTCTCTATCCACGTACTGCTGAAGCCTAGCTTGTAGGATCTTGAGCATGACCTTGCTAGCATGTGAAATGAGTGCAATTGTGCGATAGTTTGAACATCTTCTTTGGGATTGGAATGTAAACGGACCTTTTCCAGTCCTGTGGCCACTGTTGTGTTTTCCAAATTTGCTGGCATATTGAGTGTAGCACTGTAACAGCATCATCTTTTAAGACTTTGAATAGCTCAGCTGGAATACCATAACCTCTGCTCGCTTTATTGTTAGTAATGCTTTCTAAGGCCCATTTGACTTCACAGTCCAGGATGTCTGGCTCGAGGTCAGTGATCACACCATCATGGTTGTCAAGGACGTTACAGTCCTTCTTGTATAGTTCTTCTGTCTATTCTTGCCATCCTTTCCTAATTTCTTCTTCTTCTGTTTGGTCCCTGCCGTTTTTGTCCTTTATCATGGCCAGCTTTGCACAGAACATTCCCTTGATTTCTCCAATTTTTTTGAAGAGATCTCTAGTCCTTTCCATTCTATTGTTTTCCTATACTAGTTTCATTGTTCATTCAGGAAAGCCTCATCTCTCCTTGCTGTTCTCTGGAAATCTGTATTCAGTTGGGTAAATCTTTCCTTTTCACCTTTGCCTTTCACTTTCCTTCTTTCCTCTGCTATTTGTAAAACCTCATCAGACGGCCACTTTGCTTTCTTGCATTTCTGTTTCTTTGGGATGAAACCTCATCACACGGCCACTTTGCTTTCTTGCATTTCTGTTTCTTTGGGATGGTGCTGATTGCTGCCTCCTGTACAGTGTCACAAACCTCCGTCCATAGTCCTTCAAGCACTCTATCAAATCTAGTCCCTTAAACCTATTCTTCACCTCCACTGTATATTCATCAGGGATGCGATCTAGGTCAAACCTGAATGGCCTAGTGGTTTTCCCAATTTTCTTCAGTTTAAGTCTGAATTTTGCAATGAGTAGCTCATGATCTGAACCACAGTCAGCTCCAGGTCTTGTTTTTACTAACTGTATAGAGCTTCTCCATCTTTGACTGCAAATTATATAGTCAATCTGATTTCGGTGTTGCCCATCTGGTGATATCCATGTGTAGAGTCGCCTGTTAGGTTGTTGGAAGAGGGTGTTCGCTATGACCAGCGTGTTTTCTTGACAAAACTCTGTTAGCCTTTGTCCGGCTTCATTTTGTTCTCCAAGGTCATATTTGTCTGTTATCCCGGTTACCTTTTGACTTCCTACTTTAGCATTCCAGTCCCCTATGATGAGGAGAACATCTTTTTTTGGTGTTAGTTCTAGAAGGTGTTGTAGGTCTTCATAGAACCAGTCCACTTCAGCCTCTTCTGCATCAGTGGCTGGGGCATAGACTACAAAAAACATTGCAATATTTCAAGTGTGGTCTCAGATTTTTGAATTGGATACAGAACATTTATACTAATCAACATGCAAAAATTTTAATCAATGGGTTCTTGACAAATGGATTTAAGATAGAAAAAGGAACCCGTCAAGGATGTCCACTCTCTCCACTTCTCTTCATCCGTCTGATGGAAATATTTGCTTCTAAAATAAGATAAGATATTAAAATTGAAGGATTAAAAGTAGAAGAAGAGGAGTTTAAACTAAAGAATTATGCAGATGACGTGGTCCTTACAATTTCGAACCCCCTACAATCTCTCCAACATGTATTGGAGCAAACTGACAGGTTTGGAACCTTTTCGGGTTATAAAATCAACAGGAAGAAAACCATGATTATTTTAAAATTTTCAACTACTCAAGAAGAGGAAGAGATTAAGAAGATTTCAGGATGTGATGTAACAAACAACCCGATCAAATATCTAGGAATATATCTCACGGGTCAGAATGATACAGTATTAAAGGACAATTATTTGACAACCTGGTCCAAAATACAGAAAGATTTAGAGAGATGGTCCAAACTACACCTATCCTGGCTAGGAAGAATTTCTGCTATAAAAATGAACGTGCTACAAAAATTAAATTTTTTGTTACAGATTACCCCAGTTTCAATTCTTGAAAAGACTTCTGGCAAAGACAAATAAATAAGTTTGTATGGAATGATAAGAAGCCAAGAATAAGATTTAAAGTACTGCAAGACGACAAGAAAAGGGCTGGTCTGGCAATACCTAACATTAAATTAGCTGCTGGGCTAGTTTGGATATCATATTGGATCAGAAGTCCACATAACTATTTGTGGTTTAAAAATCTATATCAAAAAACAAAACCCAAGATAAAAGACATATAAGAGACAGCTTATTTAAAATTTGGGAAATGCTGTGAAAGAGAATCAGCCCTACAATTCCATTATTAATGTTACCAATAGATTCTTATTATGGCAATTATGTAAGGAAAAACAATGATTTTATAATTTAGTAGCCTGCTACCTGTGCTTCGTTACGGTATTTAAGTTCCGTAAATCCAGTTATAATATTGATGATATGAAATTTGAAATGTGACATTTGTTGTAGGAATTCTAACAGAGGAGATTGTAGTGTAAGAAATGAAGTGAGACATACGTACTTTTTTCTCTCTCTACTGAAGGACCTCTCTCTAGACTACATTGGTGGTTCTGCCCTCAGGTGCTAGGATCACCAGGCTGCTTGATGAGCTCACTCTGGAGCAGGCCACGTAGAACTGTTCATTTAAGAAGCAGTCATCTGTTAAGTTAACTCCTGCTACCTTCCATGAAAGTGATGGGCTCTCTACTTGTGATCCTGGATTGTTTTGCTCATATGGAGACAGTGTTGTTCTGAGCACCTCAGGGTGATCTTGCTGGTACTTGGCATGTGCAACTCAGGGCACTGCAGGATTACTATGTGCAGATGTCTTTGCCACATCCCTAAGTTGCCTCCTCCTTGTAGCGTTGGTGTATCTGGCGCAACATTTGCCAAGGGCTTTCTTGGGGGCAGTAAGAGGTGAGAGGTGTGAGGGGGAGTTGGTGTGAGGGAGTGGTGATGTGGTGGACATTTCTTCAGGTTCATGAGGGAGGCACACATCAAAATGGCTCCTAGAAATGTCCTTTACTATCTACCCATAAACATTCATACCCTGGCCCTGCTCCTACACCTGACAGACACCGGCCTGTCTGGTGTTGGGGGGGGATTGTACAGGAATGATGACCATAATCCTATCAAGTCTGTGGCAGAACCGGCCTGCTGACTTACAGATCGTGTTCTGCCAGCCCCCTCATTGGCTGCCGCCAATTCCTGGAGGGTTCTATTTCACTTCCTTCCACAAGGGTACTGCTGCCACCACTGTCCTGTTGGGGTCTTCCTGCCAGGAGGGACAGACTCCTATCACCCCTTCTCAAACTGAGACCCTGCCTGTGGTCTTCTGCCACCCAGCTACTGCTTACCACAGGGGCCAAATGCCTTCTTTTGGGGGGCCCTGAAGGATTGGCAATGGGTGCCTTGACTGCTTGCCTTCCCCCTTCCCAGGGCTCCCCTCTTACAGTAGCGTGGTCTAAGGCAGTTGGGGAAACTATGTGGTCCAGAGAACAGTACCAGCTTCAAAAAGTAAAATATTTATTTAAAAGAGAAAAAGGTTACAAGCATACTTTTAGCGCAGCACCAGATCTGCAACCAGAAGGACAAATAAAAGTTGGTGATAATTACATCCCCTGTCCCTGGTTCTAAAAATTACTCCAGCTAGACACTGAAGTAGAGCAGGCAACTCCAAGCTTAGAAAGTTGCAAAATGTTCTAAGGATGTTTCATTACCTCTGGCATCCTGAATCCAGGCAGGTCTAGCCACATGTTCGATGGTCCCCAGCCTGCTGAACAGAGCTCAGCAGTCTGTCCGCTTCCAAGGACCAGCATCAAGAGCCAAGAGCCCCTCTCTCCTGGGAGCAAGCACTTCTATTAAATCTCTGACTCCACCCATTCTGCATCACACTCTCAACCCCCTTTGACTTGGTCCACCCAGTGCATCCTAGGAGCCCTCCTTGCAGACATTCCGGGAAATCTCCAGGAGTCACCTGGAGATTCCTAACACCAAATCCCTCAGTTCCTTTGCAAGTCAAGCTCTTTGCATAACCATGGCTGGTAATTGACTAGCTTCCTGCCCTTGGGGGGGGGGGGAGAACAGAAACACTTTAAAAACTCAGAGTGGGGAGCAGGGGTTCTCCACAAAGTCCAACATACATGTAAAACCAGAGTTGCTCAGAAGATTCAACATGGTCACATTTAATGTCTAACGAAATTGCTCAAACATGAGGGGATTAGTTAAAAGGTAGTTGAAAGGGAGAATGGGGAGAGACAAATTTCTTCAAGATGCATAGAAATATCTGACTGGTTGTTGCTAGGGTGCTGGGTTAGAAGAATTCTGTGTCTCATCCAACAGGGTTCTTCTTACATTCTCAAGAACAGGTAATCACATTATGAACAATGTACTGCCCACGATGATGATGCTGAACTAGCTGGTTGTGTTAGCATCTCTTAGATGATGCCCTCACCAATTACATTTGTTCATGCTTTACTGTTTCTTAGAATAATCCTATAAAGAGACTTGTCCTTTGCTTGATTTGTTGCAGATTTCAATGCCACACCAGTGGCTTGAAGGAAACCTCCCTGTGAGTGCCAAATGCACAGTGTGTGATAAAACTTGTGGCAGTGTCCTGCGCTTGCAAGACTGGCGCTGCCTCTGGTGCAAAGCCATGGTGAGTTAAGCGCTCCTGTTGGGCCTCTGTGTACTTTTACTCTCCTTTTTTGTCCTATGCATATGATGTCACCCTTTAAAGGGAAGGTTTCAGATCTATTCCTCCAAAGGAATACCTCTTCCTCCGACTTGGTTTTTGTCTAGCCAATAGCTTCATTATAAAGTACTTTTTAATGTTTATAAGTGGCTTTGATCAATTTTTAGCCTAAGTGATATGGGAAAATGAACAGACCTATTGTGTAACTATCTATAGTATCTTTGAACTGCAGAATACTATCCACTGATTCTGCAATGGGAGGAAATATCTCATGTGGCATCTTGCCAAGAAAATCTCACTGTGTTCAACGAACAGAATTAGATTTCTAGAAAACTAGATGAATGTAAATAATAAATATTAACTGGATCTTTCAGATGGCAGAGTTTGAGACCTAAATAGGTTCCTCTTGTGTCTGGGAATTAGTTGTTTAAAAGCCTGGCTTGATAGCCTAGTACGATAGAATTGAATTATGTTGAATGCCTTGCTGGTTTTAATTAATTAATTAATTTTCACACTGCGTTCAATTTAATTTTAAACTAGCATTCAGAACAGTTTAACACAAATGTTTAAATCCTAATACATCCAAAAATGTTAAAAGCAGCAATACAAATACATGCTAAAGCCAACCACAAATTAAAAACAGCTGAGCATCAGCAACTGAAAGAGCTGCAAAACAAATTTTAACTTGCCCTCAGAAAGATAATAGGGAATGATATGAGTACCCATGCAAAAGAATTCCAGAGGCAAATTAACAGGAAAAATCCTACTTCTCATGGAGGTCAATCTAGCTGCTACATATGATGAAACTTTAAGATGGTAAATTGGGGGCAGGGGGATTCATATGGCAGGAAATGCTACCTGAGATTATCAGGGCCCTGGCTTTATAGGTCAAAACCAGCACCTTTGAATTGGTAACCAGTGCAGTTGCTCTAAATAGGTTACCTATAAGTATGATAATTCTATCCTGTTAACACTTGAAAGACAGCATTCTTTGTTTGCTGAAGATGTTTCTGTACCATCTTCAAGGGCAGCCCCATGTAGCTTACATTAAAGTAATTTAATGTGGAATTCACCAAAGCAACAATGATGTCTTTCAGTAGCAGAGACAATGGATGTATCAGCTGAAGCTAATAAAATGCATCCCAGGCGCTAGCTGCTACCTGGCATATTGGGGTAGTGTTGGATCCAAAATTAGCACCAGTTTGTGAACCCAATTTTTAAGCAGAGTTTGGCTTCATCCAAGACAATTATTTTCCCAGCTAAGCAATTTGCTTACACCTCCACAATTATCAACACTTTCTTAGCTGTACTGAATTTAAATGTATTCATCCAGTCTGCTGCTATTCTCCTATACATCTGTGTCACAGTGGCGTACCAAGGGCAGAGGGTGTGCTCTGCCCTGGATACAGCTTAAGGAAGGCTCTTGAAGGGGGTCCTTGAAGTCAGCATCATGCTATGTCCCCCAATATCTTTCCTTTTGTTTTTAAAATGCAGTTCTGGCTGCAACCACTAGGGGCTCAGGGAAGTCTGAGCATAGCAAAAAGCACTCTAGGACTGGCTAGACTTCCCTTTCTCTATGACTGAAGCAAACTTGTTTAACAGATCGTACAACTATGCCAGTGTGCTGATAGCTGCTACAATAATTGCCAGCCTGCAGGTCATTTTCTCCAACAGTCTAGCCTTTCCCTCTTCCTTTCTTTGTACCCAGCTCAGACAAGTCTTGCAAAACAGTAGTTAAGGTGTTGCAGCAAGCTAAAACAACCTTTCCTTCTCTTTTCCACATGTTTCTCATTCACATCCTTTGTTTTCACTTCTTGGTCTCAAGACATTCTCATCCCTATCCTGCTTGGTGACAGAAAGTGTTTAAGAGTAATACAGTAGCAAACCTTTGTTAATATTATGAACAGAAGGCACTGGGTTTGCTGGGCACTGTACACTGCACTAGTTCTGCTGGGCTTACAACCCCCCTCCCCCTTGTTTGGTGTATGATTCTACGCTTGACATCAGCTGGCATTGCCACAATGGCACTGAGTTTGCTGACCATTGTACATTGCAGTGGTTCTGCTGGGCTTGCAAAAACGCCCCCCCCCCCAAGTTCTTACTGCATAGGTTCTCTGGTTTGATTTTAGTCCTCTGAAACTATGGAGGATGGGGGCATTTTCTTTGGGGGGGTAGGGTGTTTCCTTTTTGGGGGTAGTCTGGTGAAGCTTGTGATCACTATTTTGTGATGCTTTGGCTAGTGTTAGTTAGTAAAAGTAACAGGTCAGCTGCGTACCCACACTGCTCAGCTGTTAAATGGCCCAAACAGCTGAACCAAACCGGACAAAAGTCTGGTAAATGTTTGGGGAACGTGCTTTCCCTGAACATTGGTTTGGGGTCTCTGAACTGGGCCAAGTTCATGCCAAGTTTTGGTTTGTGAACCGGTTTGTGTCATCCCTAATGGCAGCCCTGTGGGGTTTTCAAGGCAAGAGACCTTCGGAGTTTGTTTGCCATTGCCTGCCTCCATGTCGGCCCTGCTTAGCTTTTGAAATCTGGTGAGATCAGGCTCTCCTGGGGCTGTCCAGGTCAGGGCTAGGCTGAGAGTAATGTGACTTGCCCAAGGACACCCAGCAAACTTCCATGGCACGAGTGGGAATTCAAACCTTGATTTCCCAGATCCTAGTCCAACACTTTAACCAGTACACTGTGCTGGCTTTCGTGATGGAATAGCATGTTGGAATTTGAATCTTTTTTGTTGGCATGATTATATATACAAAGTTCAATGAAATTTTTTGCTGTCTGCGTTTCTTTTCTGGCCATTGAAACAAAGTTTGGGTCCAGGTGCACCTTTAAGACCAAAGTGTGTTCTGCTGCTTCAGACCAACATAGCTACCCACCTGAATCTATTTCCTGGCCATTATTATTATTCACATTTTATTTCATGATTTCATGATTGTTGTCTAGAGGAGGGGCCCTGACCTGGATAGCCCCAGCCTAGCCTGATCTCACCAGATTTCAGAAGCTAAGCAGGGCTGACGCAGAGGCAGACAGTGGCAAACCACCTCTGAATGTCTCTTGCCTTGAAAATCCTACAGGGTCGCCATAGCATGGGCTATCCAAGTTGACTGCTACAACAAAATAAATAAAACTGATAAGAGTTGTGAGGCAGATGTATATGTATATTCTAAGTCTTCTAGGCATTACCTCTTTAGGAATATGTTCTTAGAATAACTTTGTGTTCTTGCTTATTTCCTGTGCCATTTTAGTTTCTTGGGCTTTCAAATGGAAATTGACAAAAAAAATTCTACCAGTTAAAGCAAGACTTTAAAAACTTTAACTGGTATTATTGTTCCAGGTACACACCTCATGTAGAGACTTGTTACCAACCAAGTGCCCACTTGGCCTTTGTAAGGTATCCGTCATCCCCCCTACGGCTCTCAACAGCATTGATTCAGATGGTGAGTATTAGAGAATGCTTCTTAGTGTTAGCTTCACATCTTTCTGCACTGTTCTATTGTTTCATTGGCAGTGTTGGTATAACACAAAAAGCTGCTATCCTCATAAGATAAGAAAGAACACTGGACAAAGACTTCCTTTCTCCTCCCTTCCTCCCTCCATTCTTATTTTCAGGGGTATTTTATTTTCTTATTTACATGTATTGCAAATTAACAGATCAAAAGGTTAGCAAAGACATAATCTTTATGAGAATCTACTCCACTCAAAGATAATATATTTGTTTTTACTTAATTTCAAGGTGTTTACTTATTTCTTTTGTAATAGTTTGTAAAATAGTAGACATTTCAGTAAACTTCTTGATAAAATCCTGGCATAGAGCACAGCTGAGCATATGCAGATCCATTCTCAAAGCTGCCCATTGGATCCAAAGGACCATGAGCAAAGTCCTTTTCACAGAATGGATGTTTCATTCTTCTCTCTGTCTTCTTCAGCCTCCTGCTCCACCTGAAAAGCTGCTCCTGAGGGTTGGGGAACTCTTGTAAACAGCATGGGATGCAGCCCAGGGGGCTGTAGCTTGAGTGGGAAAACTGCTGAAATCACAGACACACACCCTCTTATGTGAGCAAAAATGCCTTTGGCTCATGCAGTGGTTATCTTTAGCTCCAACCCTGTATATATATATATTATGATCTTGATGTATTTCATCTTAAATATATCTTTAGAGGATCTTGGAAGTCAGTGATAAAATATCATGGGAATAAATGGGACAAGGTGGCAGCACATGGGCATACTATTTGCCTGCCCAACGTTACTGTTGTTCTGTAGGTTACTAGCCACCCTTTGACAGAATAGCTTAATCTGTTCTTGGTTTTCCATACAGGTTTCTGGAAAGCCACTTGTCCCCCGTCTTGCACAAGCCCTTTGCTGGTCTTCGTCAACTCAAAAAGTGGAGACAACCAGGGTGTAAAATTCCTACGAAGATTCAAACAACTGCTGAATCCTGCACAGGTCTTTGATCTCATGAATGGAGGACCTCACCTCGGGTAAGAGCTGTTCTCTTGATGTGAAGCTATTTGGAAACTATACATAAATTCTTCAGTTTATTCCGTTTCCTGAAGGTAGCAATTATTATTATTTTATTTATTTACATAATTTATATCCTTCCTTCCTGCCCTTACAAGGGCCGCCAAGGTGGCCAACAATTTAAGCAAAAAGGCAGGATAAAACACTGAGATTAAACACTCACAAAATATAATAAATTAAATAAAACACTTCTATTTATAGCCTAACATTGTCACCTTTTACATTTATAAACATACGTAATTATAACATCCAAAAGCTGGTGGTAATGGCTAAGTGTTACATCTTAAAACACGCCACCTTAACTTAATGAAGGAACGACTATTTCTGCAAGCACTTTAATTTGTATGATTGTTTTAAAATGTTTTATGTGGACTTGGAACACTTCACCCATTAATGTAAGCCACCCTGAGCCTGTTCACCGGGAGGGCGGGATACAAATGCAATTAAATAAATAAATAAATAAATAAATAAATAAATAAGACACACAAAATATTGCATGCAGGCACTCAACAGAATTTATTTATTTATCTATCAAATTTATCCCCCGCACTCCTGGCCAAGGCCGGCTCAGGGCGATTTACACAGAGTAAGACATATAAATTACAGTTAAAACAGTTTTAAAACCAACTAAAACCATTTGATATAATAAAGTGCTAGTAATCATTATGTTATTTAACGATGGCAGCCATTGTTCAGTGGTCCCGTCTCGCAGTCAGCTCGTAGGCGGCTGGCACAGGCTGCTGTTGTTGGTGACTCCTGGAGGGCAGGGCTCTCTATTCTTCAGCTGTTAGAGGTGGCTCCTTGATTGAAGGCCTGGTGGAAGAGCTCCATTTTACAAGCTCTGCAGAACTGTAAGAGGTCCCGCAGGGCCCTGATCTCTTCTGTCCCGCTGAGTGGGAGCTGTAAGAAGGGCCAGTCGGTTCTGGGATCCTGATCGCAGTGCTCTCTGGGGAACATGTGGGGAAAGGTGGTCCCTCAAGTATGTAGGTCCCTGACCATAAAGCTCTTTAAAGGTAAGAACCAGCACCTTGAAATGAATCCGGTATGGTATTCACAGCCAGTGCAATGCTTTTAGCACAGGCTGGATATGCTCCCACTCAGGGAGACCCATCAAAAGCCTGGCCGCCACATTTTGCACAAGCTGCAGTTTCTGGATTTGAGATAAGGGCAGCCCCATGTAGAGAGCGTTACTATAGAATTAGGAGGAGGGGGGATTCATACCCTGCCCTTCACTATTGAAAAGAGTCTCAGAGCAGTTTACAACCCCTTTCCTTTCCCTTCCCCACAACAGACACCCTGTGAGGTAGGTGGGGCTGAGAGAGCTCTCTCAAGAACTGCCCTTGAGAGATCAGCTCTGAAAGAACTTATGACTTGACCCAAGGAGCTGCATATGGAAGAGTGGGGAATTAAATCCAGTTTTCTTAGATCAGTGTCTGCGTTTCTAACCACTACACCAAGCTGGCTCTCAAAGCAACAAGGTGCTGTTTTTCCTGTGCTTGCAGGCACACAATAATTTATGCAGGTGCTGTTTTTCTTGTGCTCACAAGCACTAAGTGATTTGTACACTAAGCATAAATTATGTTCCAAAGCAAATAATTAAAGACTGAGTGTCTATTATATAATGCTGAAACAGGCTTCCAAAACAACTTGATTAGGAGCCGTTGCACGTTGGCAATAGTCAAGTAGGTGGACCATCATCAACAACACGCATGTCCCAGGTAAGCCTTGCATTGCAAAAACATCTTCAAATCTGGTTTACTGTTGGAATAATAAAATATCATAACCATAGTATTACTCACATCCACCATCATTAGTACATCCAAAATTAACATACCAGCATTGCCAATATTCAGAAGAGAATACTCACCCATAACATCTATATACTAATAGCCAAAATGCCCCTTCTGTGCGGATATCTAAATCCGCACATCGGGGGCACTTGGGGGGCAGAGAGATTTTCCTGCACACTTGGGGCAGTCCCCAAGTGTGCATAAAAATCTGAAAAGTTTAAAAAACTATACGGGGGATAGTTAAATCCCCCCAAAAGTAAAAGAGCATTCCCTGTGCATGCGCAGAGTATGCTCTGGGAACTCCACGGTGGGCCTGGCAGCTGGGAGGCACTCAGGCCTTGCTGCCAGTGCCCGGGGCAGAGATCAGCGGGCCCAGCAGCTGGGAGGCGCTCACGCCTCACCATCGCTGCCTGGGGGGAAATTGGCGGGCCCGGTGGCTGGGAGGCATTCAGGCCTCGCCGCCGGTTCCCAGGGAGGGAGAAGGCTTACCTGCAGCTGCTTCCTCCTCAATGTGGAGCTGCTTCTGCAGGCCGGGAGCCTTTAGGAATACTCCCCCCTGCGAGTATTGCAGGTCCCGCTTCTTGTTCTGCATCTTAGCCATTACCACCAGCACTTGGATGTTACATTTACGTATGTTTATAAGTGTAAAAGGTGACAATGTTAGGCTATAAATATAAGTGTTTTATTTATATTATAGCTTGTGACAGTTTATCTCGGCATTCTGTCTTCCTTTTCTGCTTTGTACACACTGGGAGTCTTTCTCTTCTTGTTTGGCCAACAATTTAAAGCATAAGTTATAAAATACATTATAAAACTATCAAAACAAACCCCTCTCCCAAACATACCTGATTAAAACAACTTTTAAAAGAGTTTAAAAACAGTTATAATACATATAAAACATTTAAAATGCATACAAAACAGAAGACATCAGTTGAGAAGGGATCATTGAGGGAGTGCCAAACGAAACAAAAAAGTCTTCACACACAGCCGGAATGTGGCAACAGAAGGGGAAAGACAAATCTCCCTGGGATGAGAGTTCCAAAGCTTTGGTGCCATGACTGAGAAGGCCCTCTCCCAGATTGCCGCTTGCCTAATTTCAGATGGCAGGTGGCACCCGAAGCAAGGCCTCTGAAGATGACCGTAATGGTCAGGTGGGTTCATAAAGGATTAGGCGGTCCTTCAAGTATGTTGGTCTCAAACCATACAGGGCTTTAGAGGTGAAGACCAGCACCTTGAATTGTGCCTGGAAACAAATTGGAACCCAGTGTTGGTGGGCCAAGACTGTGGCGATATAGTCCATACAACCCATTCCAGTTGACATCCTGCCTGCAGCATTCTGTACCAATTGAAGTTTCTGAACACTTTTCAAGGGCAGCTCTACGTAAAGCACATTGCAGTAATCTAATCTAGATGTAATCAAGGCGTGCTCCACAGTGGCCAAATATTTTCAGCCAATGAAAGGTCGAAGCTGGTCAAAAGCACTCTTGGCCACAGCTGCTACCTGCTTATCCAGGAGTAGGCCTGGATCCAAGAGCACTCCCAGACTTTGGACCTATTCCTTCAAGGGAAGTACAACCCCATCCAGAATGGGTGGCACCTTTGCAACTCAGTAAGAAGGCAGATACAGTCACCATATTTTTATGATAGATTTGTTTTGTGTGTCTGCCTCTCTGATACAGTACATACTTGTGCAATAACCTCAGCAGGCATACTTTAGCATATTACAATTTTAAAATCCACGTTATTATAAGGTAAAACCTAAGACTTCTTTACTATATCAGGTGGTGCCCTAATGACGAAGAGAGCTGTGTTTCTCAAAAGCTTATGCTACAATACAGTTTGTTAGTCTTAAAAGTGCTATTGGGCCTTTTACTATCTTTCCATAGGTAGTTTTAGAGGCCTCTAAGTCTAAGGATTGCTTCCTGATGAGATTTTTATTACTCCCTGCAGTTAATCTTCCACTAGAAATTTTGTCGTTGGAGTGTAATTAATGTTTCTATATATCTTTGAATGACTTTTAAGGTTTTGTTTCCTTTTAGCATTTTGTAGGTTATATCCTCCTTTATGCAGCTCCATGGCTGTGGGGCAGCTCCATGATCTCTGTGGGGTTGTGTGGCTCTGGTCACACGAGCCGGAAAATGTGGGGGGGAAGCGTGGCTGTTTGCCCCGGAGCAAAATAATGCGCGGCTGCGCAGTCAGACGTCCCATCGAGGTCCCGTGGTTAGGGGGGAGGTGCCGATCACACGGGTTTAACCCCTTCCAGGGCTGCAGAGGAATGCAAACTGTGTCCTCCGTCTGGTCCCCTCCAGGAGGAGCTTCAGCCGGGCCGCCCTCCCGCCACCCCCCCCCGCACCTCAACAGGGATAAGCAACAGCCAGGAGAAGTGGTGCAGCAGCTGGAAAGCCCCCCCCCAGGTCTCCTTAGAAGTAAGCCATGCACCGAGAAAGGGAGGGAGGGAGGGAGGGAGGGAGGGAGCGTTGTCGTGCCAAGCCGTGGCCATCCTAGGGTGGCCACCAATGCACCCTCTAAGCTGCAGAGTCTTGCGAGCAAAAATCCGGTGAGCTCCTGGCATTAAAGTGGTGAGTGAGCCATTTGGCCGCTGCATCAATCAGTTTGCTCTGGAGCCACATCCCTTCCTGAGCGAAGACAAAAAATGTATGAACTGGAAAAGGGATCAGACGCCCACCCTTGCCCCGCGGTTTCCAGAAACTAGTACCTCAGAGGTACTAGTTTTTTAAGCCGCATCTTCGGCAGGAAGCCTCGGGTTCGCCATGGGAGCTCTACGCTTCCCAGATGTTGCGGTGTGATCGCGCCCGGAAAATCCCCCTATCTTCTGTCTCTGTAGCGTGGCTAATGCTCCGTGTGACCGCAGCCTGTGTAAAGATCTTGCTTCCTTAAGAACAGGAATGCTCATGCAGAAATTCCTACCTCTCTGTGACGCAAATAGATCGTTATTTCCTTGTACACTTTGTCATGTATTCAGATTAATTTGGAATCCAATGGAGGACCAAAATCACCCATAGAAGGGTCTTTAATTCTTAATCACATTCACTTCTGTAATAACATGTTAAATAGCTAGTCTTTTCCCCCCTTTGCAGTTTACGTCTATTCCAGAAATTCGACACATTCCGAATTCTGGTGTGTGGTGGGGATGGAAGCGTTGGGTGGGTTCTCTCTGAAATTGACAGCCTCAGTCTCCACAAGCAGGTACGTTACGAAAGAGTTTTTCTGCTTATAGTACAGGAAAATATCACGTCACATACAGTTTTGCCTGAAATAATGGCGTAGCTAAGGCCAAACCAAGACATTATATGTAAAACAGGTGGTGCTTGAATTTTTTATTTGCCACCTGATGGGAAGGGGGATGGGAAATCTATAAAGCAGAAGCAGCAGAGGAGGTGTTTAAGCATGACCCCATTGCTTTTGCCTGCAACTGCTTCCCTCAGCTTGGCTTCTGTCTGGTTTTGTGAAGAAAGTGAACTTGTATGACCATTTTCCCCAGGGCCCAGTTTTGAGGCAAAATGGCCTCTTTAAATCCAGTTCTGAGGAGACTATTCAAAATATTGAGCCATTCATCTGTAGGTGTTCATCATGCAGAAACTTCCAACTTTAGCCGTGTCTTTTAAACTCTTATTGCTTTTATCGCAGTTTGCTGTTTCCTGGTGGGAATAAGAGAGGGGCCTCAGGGATGAGCCTCTGCATGAGCAGCTTCCACACAGGCAGATGTGGCCTTGAGGCTGCTGCTTGGCCTTGAGGCTGCTGCTTGGTCACATAAATAATGCCTAGATCTTGAAAGAGCTATTTTCTTGAAGTGAAAGCACTGCATTTATGGAATTTAATTTCTTCTGGTTGCCCCCCCCTTTACACATCTTGCTACAAAAGGGTGATAGCACCACCAGGTGGTGAAAATGAAACATTGAACTTTCACCAGTGATTTGAACAGATTTGTGCTATCAGTGGATAAATTGCAAGTAGGATTAGAATTGATTTGCTCACTGTATTATAGCTTCTAGTAATAAGGAGGTTTTCTTACCAGCTACGATTTGGGTATTGCATCCTAGTGATGGTGGTTTTTAGTTCCCTTAATGTACCTAATGGTTCCCTAAAGTTAAAACAAGAGAACAAGAAACTACTTATTTTCCTAATTGGCTGTTACACCAGGAAGTGAAATAATGAGGCCAGTGCAAGGAGATGGATGAAGATTGTGGGCAAATGCAGTCATGTTACATTTCCTTAATTATGGTGAAGGCTAAAAGGAAGAGTTTGTGGAAGAGGCAGGTTTTGAGGTGTTATTTTGAATAGGAAGAACCTGTTTAAACAGGGATAAGAGAACAGAGGCGTAGAGTAGGTATTCTGGGAATAAGCTCCATTTTACAAAACAAGGGATTGAAAAATTAAGATGTTGAAAGAATATAACTGAAACATGGATGGCATATCATATCATTTTCTCATAGTGACTTGTTTGCTAGAAATAAATTAGAGACTCTTTAATTTTTGGGGGGAGGCTTAGTGGATTATGTATCCCTTTTGATTATCCTTGTTTGTACTCTCTTCTTTGTGTAGTGTCAATTAGGAGTGTTACCTCTGGGTACCGGCAATGACCTTGCTCGTGTGCTGGGCTGGGGATCTGCTTGTGATGATGACACCCAGCTCCCGCAGATACTGGAAAAGCTTGAAAGGGCCAGTACCAAAATGCTTGACAGGTGAGTGCTGCTCCAAGATGCCAGAGCCAAGCACCTGATTTTCACTTGACCCCTGAACATTGTGCCACTTCTTCAGAAATAGTGCCTTCTGAGGAAGGCAGACATGATCCCTGACTTGCATTCCACTTGAATTTATTACTGAGCAGCAGCGTTCTTTTCCTTGTATCATGATTTCTAATGCTGCCAGAACGTTCCTGCCTCCATAAATAAGCTTCAAAGCACCTGAGCTGTAGTGATGAAATCTGTCTGTTCCTCAGAATATACTCCCAGTTCTATATGTGCATTGGTGTAAAGCTCAGCTGCACTCCCACACACAGGCTGCCTGAATCCATTTTAGAGTCTGTAGGATTTAAGTAGCCTAAATAGGTTTGTAGTTTTTGCAATTGTATTCCTTTTACAGGTAAGTATAAAGGGAATTCCTTATAACACTATTATTATTTGATTGAGTTGTATTTTTAAAATTGCATATTCATAGCAAATGACATGAATTGGAACATGATACCGTATTTTCGGACCATAAGACGCACCTGACCTTAAGACGCACCTAGTTTTTAAAGGAGGAAAACAGGGAAAAAAGTATTTTTGGGGGGGGGGGAATGAGCAGATCTGCCCTCACAGAGAAGCCTGAGCTGGTGCCACTGGACTGTTTTGGATTGCTAGCAGCAACACACACACACACACAAACCCTACTCAGCTCCTCCTCTAGCTGGAAGGAACTTGCAAGGCTCCAGCAGCAACACAACCTGGGAGCCCTGGCAGTGGAAGGCTCATGGTAGGGGCCAAGGAAGGAGGGAGAAAATCGAGGGGTGACTCACCTCTGGAATGACTTCTGAGTCCTGATGGGGCGGGGCAGCAACAGCGTGGGTCAGGCTGCAAGCAAGTGCAGCTTGTGGGAAGTGAAACACAACGAGGGAGAAGGGAGAGCAAATCAATACACTGCAGGGGAAAAGGGGGGGAGGAAAGGGGGGATAAGAGAGGCAGGAAATAGATTCAGTTAAATGGAGCAGGGGAGAGAGGGAGAGAGGGGGAGGGAAGGGAGCAATTAACAAATAGTTGCAGGGGGAAAATGAGGCTGTAGGAGGGGAGGGGAGGGGGAGGCACAGCTGAAATGGGGCGGGGCCAGTGCACACGGAGAGGCTCTCCTCCAGCTGGGTGGGAGGGAACAGTGAGAGGAGGGGAAAGGGCTGGGACTGCCCGGCTGAGGTCAGTCGCCCAGGAAGTGACCTGCGCCTCTCTTCCTGTCCCCCCTGACCACCAGGGGGCCCGCCTGCCTTGGCAGAGCTGAGCTCCGGCTAGGGCCAGGGCTGGGCTGTCTGTACGTGTTCCTCCTGGGGGCGGGGCTTGCTGCCTTAACTGCCGGAGCTCTGTCCTGGAGGGCTCCGGCTGGAAAAGACCCTGGCTGCTGCGCCACGTGTTCTCCTGCACCAGCCCCGCCTTCAGTCCATAAGACGCACTCACTTTTCCTCCCACTTTTTTTGGAAGAAAAAGTGCGTCTTATGGTCCGAAAAATACGGTAATTTTTTCTGCTCTGCTCTGCTTCAGCTCTGTGCTGTGGAAGACAGCATTCTCCAATATGTGAAGTACAGAAAGACTAAAGATACTGTCCGTGTTTTCTTTTTTGCCTTTTGGGACTAGCATCCCAAATTTTTCCCCCAGTTCAGTTTATTTCAATACACGATCAGCTTGGAAAGTATTAACAAAGACAATAAAAACTACCATATGCAATACCATTACTAGCAAAACAGACGTATATGTGCCATTATATTCCAACATTTCAAAATTCTTACACACATTTCACAATAGTGGTAGTTTGTTCTTTGAACATTCAACCATCTGTTTTCATATTGTACATGCCATTATACAAAATTTTATTACACTACGAGTAATTTCTTTAGAGGAGACGGAAAGGAGGAGGGAAATGCATAATTGCTCTGATCTTCCAGGGAAGTTTGTTAAAATCAGCATTATATATTGGGAATGTATATCATTATAGTAGGGACACTGTAACAAAATGTGATTAGTGGTCTCAAATGTTTCCCATAAATATCACAATTTAACAAAAAAGCTTGTTCTTTAGAAGACTCATGCTGTGCATGTTCCTATTATGTCCTGATCAAAGAGGGGGAGACCTGTTTAAAGAGTCTCTCCCCTCCTTTTTCATTCATTTCACCCCAATCCCTACATTTGAAGGGATAAGGTTGAGCATGTGCACATGCATGCTGGACAGCTACCCTTGGGCATTCTGCACCTGAACCAAAAAAGTCAAAATGACTCACTTCCCATGTTCATGTTTTCTGAAGCATGGAGATAGATTGGAGGCACTAAAACTGCACTCCATCTGGAATCTGTTGCCTTTCATGTCACTTTATGGATAAGGCCAGTCCTGTGTCAACCAGCACCAGGTCTTTTTTAAACTGTGTGATGATTCTTCCTCATTAGGTGGAGCATCATGGTGTACGAAACAAAACTCCCTCGTCAAGCATCCACTTCAACAGTTGCTGAAGATTTCAGTGAAGACTCTGAGGTAGAGAGCATTACAAATGTTGAACAACCTGGAACTAGGGAAGTTAGACAATGAGGGGAGAAATAGAATGGGTGTGGGAGAAGCTCATGCTGTGCAGGATAGGGAGCTGTAAAGGGAGGGATGGCCACTAAGTAAAGAAAAGTGCGTGGAAAGGGCTTGGAGTACTATATACTGATTAACGTTGGCTCAGGAGTGTGCAGCTCTGAAAATTATTATACATGTAATGATTTCTGAATGTCACAAGGTGCAGCAGATTCTCTTCTATGAAGATTCTGTGGCTGCTCATTTATCCAAAATCTTGACATCTGACCAACATTCAGTGGTCATCTCATCAGCTAAGTAAGTATTCGGGGGGGGATATGATTAAATGCGACAGCCAGATACATCCTGGATGGTAGGCATATAGCTACTGCTTTTCTCTCTCTCCTTTTTTCCCCTCTAGGGTGCTCTGTGAGACTGTGAAAGATTTTGTGGCTCGGGTAGGGAAGGCTTATGAGAAAGCAACGGAAAGTTCTGAAGAGTCAGAAGTTATGGCCAGAAAGGTATTTGGAGGCTTTCAAATAACCTATGTGTAGAAGAACTAAGTTTGAGTCCAGTGGCACCTTTAAGATCAACAAAGTGTTATTCAGAGTGTAAGCTTTTGTGTGCAAAGCACACTTCTTCAGGCAAAAAGAAGTGCGTCTGAAGAAGTGTGCTTTGCACACAAAAGCTTATACTTGGAATAAAACTTTGTTGGTCTTAAAGGTGCCACTGGACTCAAACTTTGTTTTGCTGCTTCAGACCAACACGGCTACCTACTTGAATTTTTCTATGTGTAGAAGGGTTAGTTACTAAATTATCATCAAACCCTTATACTTTGCTTGTAGTGTTCTGTTTTGAAAGAGAAGCTGGACTCTCTTTTGAAGACACTGAATGAAGAATCTCAAGCATCAACTTCTCTGCCAAACCCACCGCCTACCATTGCCGAGGAGACAGAAGATGGTGAGGGTTCTGGCAGTGTTTGTGATTCCTCTAGTGAACGTTCGGTGGGATCATCTTGCACCACCCGTCCTCAGATATTCCGGCCACGTGAACAGTTAATGCTGAGAGCGAACAGTCTGAAAAAAGCCATTCGTCAGATTATAGAGCATGCAGAAAAAGGTAAACTCTGGGAATTCATGAATATACTTCAAGGGGAGCTTGGAAGTATATAAGTGTCCTTAATTTCAGGCATGTAAATTAATTGCTGTAACCTTACTTTTATTAGGATTTTTAGTCAGGTTTCTGTTTTTTTAAGAGGTAAATGATAAGTTGTGAGGGTTACATATGTAACCCAACAATCCACTTAGGTTAAGAAAAAAAATAGGGGGAAATTGTTGTAAAAAGCCTTTTGAATATCCAAGAATATGTTTGCTAAATCACTCCTAGTAACTCGCTTATTGACATTCTCAAAGAATCCAAAAGGTTGGTAAGGAAGGACGTCCCTCTGCAGAAACCTTGCTGATTTTAACCTCAGCAGGGCTTACTCTTCTGTATCATTATTCTATTTTCAAGAGGGGTTTTTTGTGTGTGCCGGATACTTATTTCCACCAGCAGGAGGCTCACTCTCCCCCAACAGCTTTTCCTACATAATAAGTAGACTTCCTGGGTTTGTAGAAAAATCCAAAAACTAAAAAAATCCCTTCAGGGACAGCTGAATTCCCCCCTAAACCTTTTGAAATGGCCTCTCGCATGGATCTGCTTCAGGCATCAATGGTGAGAGATTAGAATGTGGGGGGGGGGGCTTCTAAGGCTTCTAACGGGCTCTGTCAGTAAAAGGGTGGGGGAAGGGCCCTTTCCAGGCCTATTTTGGCTTTTCAGGGAGGGAGGGAGCCTTGGGGCCAGGCCTCACAAGAGTTGCCAGTGCCAGGCTGGGGGATTTCTAGAGGAGGGCTGGGTTTGGGAAGGGAGAGGCCTCAGCTGGGTATAATGCCACAGAGTCCCACCCTCCAAAGCAGCCATTTTCTCCAGGGAGACAGACCTCTGCTGTCTAGAGTCCAGTTGTAATTCTGGGGGGTCTCCAGATCCCATTTGGAGGTTGGCAACTCTAGGCCTGGTAGTAGTCTAGGGTTGCCAGGTCTCCCCGATTTGCATGACTCATCTAGCCTCGACTGCTTGCTACTGTTCATCATAGGGTTGCCAAATGGGCCCGGGGGGTGGGGAATCCCCCACTTTGGCGGCCCGATTTCTGACGCGACAGAATCGGCCCCTGGGGGAAATCCCCCCCCCGCATGCACGTCACCCGGATGTGACGTAGATACGTTGTGCGCGTGCGCGCTTTGTGCGCGTGCGCACCGGGAGGTCCCTAGGAGTCCCCCGCCGAGGAGGTGAGTACAATTTGGCAACCCTAGTTCATCAGCAGCCACCCTATGAAAGCCAGTGAGGTGCAGCAGTTAGAGCTTCAAAGTAGGGTCTGTAAGACCCAGGTTCAGATCCCCATCTTGCAGTGGAAGCTGACTGGGTGATTTTGGACCAGTCACACACTTTCAGCCTCTCCAACCTCACAGGGTTGTTGTGCAGATAAAAAGGAGGAGGGAATAATGAAAGCTGCTTTGGTCCCCACTGTGGAGAAAGACTGTAATTTTCCTAGGTAGAGGCTGGGGGGTGGAGATGGAAAGCAGAAGACAGAGAGGCAGATAAAGGTAGGTTGGCTGTTGGGTGGGAAGGAAATAGGGTTGCCAACTCCAGGTTGGGAAATTCCTGGACATTTGAGGGGTGGAGCCTGGAGAGGGTGGGATTTGAGGAGGGGAGGAACTTTGGACTGGTGTAATGTCATAGACTCCACCCTCCAGCCATTTCCTCCACAAGAACCACCATTGCCAGCCTCCAGGTGAGCAAAATACAATGTTTATTCAATCCAGCTATCACCAGGTAACACAACGTGTTTCTCCAAGCAAGTAGAGGACTGATAAAACCCACTCTGCTAATGGCCTGCAGGTGGACATAACAACTCCAAGTGATCTTAAAGATACATTACACCACATCTCCCTTTTTCAAAGAGAAAGATAACTTAAAATCTCTTTGCTTTACACATAACTGAAAACATTTACAGAGAATATAAAAACATTTCATTAGACCATTAAGAGTATAATTAAGACCACATATATTATTCAGCTATATATCTTTCTGGCGAGAATACCACCCTGCCTCTAGATGTTACATATCTAGGTTGCCTTCCTTCCTCCTGGGTCCGTTCAGATATATTTTCATGATGTTGTATGTCTGGAGCCTCTTCCTCCTCATTATCATTTTGATTACTCTGTTGTTCTTCTGATTGTATCTGATCCTTCACATCCTCCCCTGTATTAACTTTCTGTTTTACATTCTCCTGTTCCTCCTCCCCTAAATCCCTCCTTTGATACCTAAGTTTACGTCTATTCCGCCTATATATAGTCCCATCTGGAGTTATGACTTGATATGTCCGAGGCTGTGCACACCTCTCTAACACCTTTGCTGGAAACCATCGTTCTTTAGCTTCCACCCACACCAAATCTCCTGGCTGTAGTGGCTTAAGCGATTTTGCTGTC